CTTGGGCCCTGGAGTGGATGACCGGCAATGTCCATCACGAAGCCAATGCATTCGATATCATTGAGCTCACCGGCCTGCCCACTCCTGGCGAACTCTTCGAGGAAGGCTGTCCACTACACACTGAAGCTCTTGAGAGCATATTCCAGAGGCCTGAACCAAATATGAGTCAGATGCTCTCCATGATGAAGCCATTGCCCCACGATGCTCCTTATCCAACAGAGTTCTTCATTGAAGACTTTGAGTACCTGCCCAGAACCATCTATCACATTATCCGGCGGACACTCTGGCCTATTAAAGGGCACTCTCCAAATGCCAAGATCGAGGGTGCAATGAAGACTCTGATATTCTGTATCCTTCATGGCAAATGCTTCAACGCACAGGATTTCTTCATACGCCAACTCGCTGCATCAGGCTCAGATCTGTTTGGTTTAAAGTTCTATGCTCCTTGGGTAATGAGACTGATCAAGCTTCACTCTGCAATCTCATATTAGCCCTCAGCCCGCAACCATCGGATCTTCTTGCCAGATGTGGATACCTCTGCTGAAGCTATATATCCTGAGCCTGCCAAGCAACCTTTAAGTCTTCAGAATGCAGAACACCAGAGTTTCACTCAAAATGATGAAGGTGTTGAAGCCATCTCCAGGGTGTATCCTTTGGCTGGCACTACACGTGCGCCACACCCTGCTTCAACTGAAGCCACTGATAGTGCAACTGCTTCCAGACCCAAGAAGCGCGCTCGTGTTCTCAATAACCGAGAGCTTCTTGTGGCCCTTCATCAAAAACAAGATATGCATCACGACTAGCTAAAGCGTCAGATGAAAAGCCTCTTGGTGGATGTTAATCGTCTTCGAAATCTTGCCACCAAGAATGCTTTCGTCACTCATGAAACCTGTCGTCGTACATGGAAAGGGCTATCAATGATGTGTACTGAAGCTGAACTTGAAGAGGATGGCTTCACTGAGCGATTCAAGTTTGATACCACACCTCCTAGAAGGGCTGTGATGCGCAACACACCATCACTTGAAGACTCTGAGTTTTCTTCATCTGCTGCCACAGTCACTGCCAGAATCATTGATGAAGAAGACGATGCTACATCACCATCACCTGCTTCAGCACCTCCAAGCTCTTCTACACCGCCAAACACCTCCAACTACCCTGCTGCTCCTGGGAACGAGTAGACACTCTATGTCTTCAAACCTTTTTGGTCCTTGCCGACAAAAGGGGGAGAAGCATATGGGTTGATAGTCTTCAAGCGGGTCCATATGGGTGGGTGCTTTATGTTTTGCTATATTTTTCTTCGTGCTTACAACTCTCGTTTTTGCCTCATTTGGTTCTTTGAGTTGTAACACTAAAACTCGATGGTCGTCTGCTACTTGTTTGTCACCCTGTTTGCGAAGATAAATTCCGCATGTGCGACGATAAATTCCGCACTTATCTCATTCTGCAGATGTCCATTTTCCATTATGCATGTCATTATCTTCATATACTTTCACATGCATAGTGGATTGTCATCATAAGCTGAATTGGATCTCCACAAGTACAACCTGCCATGTGCATTTGCATTCCAAAAGCAAATTAACTTATATGCACATCTTCAGGGGGAGCCCTTGAAACTTATGAAGACAACTCCTTATCCTTTACAATTTCACAGACTATATTCCCCGTTGAAAACTTCAACTAGTTTGTCATCAATCACCAAAAAGGGGGAGATTGTAAGTGCATCTAGTGCCACCCCTAGTTGGTTTTGGAGTATTGACGACAAACCTAGTTGAGGGACTAATGTGTTTGTGAGAATTGCAGGATAACACAGGTAGAAGTCCCTCATTGATTCGGTTTTACTACCAGAGATGACCCCTAAAAATGTATGAAGACATTGAAGCCAAAGGTGGTATATGAAGATATTCACATTGAAGACTATGACAAAAGAAGACACGTTATGAAGCCTATGGAGCTCGAAGACTTAGATCTTTCGTAGTTCTTTTTCTTTTGTGTTGAGTCATAGGAACCACCGTACTGTTAAATGGGGTCCAGGAGAACCAGTCAGAATGACTGAAGTGATGCCTAAACCAAAAACCTATGTCTTCGAGTGAAGACAATGAGAGCGAATCTTGTCCAGAGCCGGACAAGTCAGCTTTGCTTGTAGCCCAAGTAAAGTTGCCATGAGAGTTTGAAATCTGACCGTTGAGACACGTGTCAGTTCCTTAGTGACCCAGGGTCATTTCGGACAAATCAGGTCCGGTTGCCAAGTGGCTATAAATAGCCCACCCCCTACAACCATAAATGGTTGGCTGCTCAGATTTTAGTGCACGGCTTTTGTCATTTGAGAGCAACCCACCTCGAAGCCTTTGAGAGAAAATTCCTAGCGAGGAGAAAAGCCCTAACCACCCAGAGCTAGAGAACATTGGGCATCACTTAAGTCTTCTTGTCTGTGTGATCTGAAGACTTATTACACTTGAGGACTGTGAATCGTCCAGACGGTTAGGCGTCGCGTTCAAAGCATCCAAGAGACATTGTGGAGTGCCAGTGAACGAAGTCTGTAAAGGTTTGGGAGTCTACCTTTAAGACTTACCAGAGTGATTGGGCGAGGACTATGTGACCTTAGCTCAAGGAGAATACAATGAGGACTTGGTGTCCTGAGCTGCGTGTTCAGGACTAGGTGTCCGGGACTGTGTGTCCTAAGGTTTAAATACCTAGCCGCTCCAACCAGGCGTATAGTTGTCACAACAACTGGAACTGGTCCAACACATCATTGTCTTCAACGAGTCACCGGTTTCATCTTTACTTCCTTTTTCTTACTGTTACTCATTGTGAAGCCATTGCATGCTTGCTCTATCTTTTGTCTTCACAACGTGAATGTATGATCTGTTTGGCTTCATTACTTCTTCCTACCTGATCCTTATTACACTGCAGCTGTTTGTCTTTGTGCTTTCACTCTATTGAATACTTGACCATGGCTTGCCTAGTGTAATCTAACTTCCGCTGCACAGTAATAGGCAAAATCTTCGCTGTTTGTCTTCATAACTCCCACGTTGTGAAGACTTTCATAAAAATCGCCTATTCACCCCCCTCTAGTCGATATAACGCACTTTCAATCTTCACCAAGGTCGGGACCAATAGGCTCACACAGATTGCGCATTCTGTGGTGCAACAATCCCAAACTGCTTTCATGCCGGACAGAAACATCCTTGAAGGGGTGATTGTTCTTCATGAAACGCTCCATGAAATCCACTCCAAAAAATTAGATGGAGTAATTTTTACAGTGGATTTCGAAAAAGCGTATGATAAGGTCAACTGGCCATTCCTCCAACAGGCATTGCGTATGAAAGATTTGATGAAGCCTGGCGCCAAAAGGGAGTGTGGGAATTAAAGTGAATGACGATATAGGTCATTACTTCCAGACACATAAAGGCCTCAGACAAGGAGATCCGATGTCCCCTATCCTGTTTAACATTGTGGTGGATATGTTAGCAATTTTGATAGGAAGGGCTAAGGAGAATGGTCAAGTGGGTGGTTTGGTACCTCATCTTGTTGATGGAGGTGTATCCGTCCTTCAATACGCTGATGATACAATCATCTTTATGGAGCATAATTTGGCCAAGGCGAGAAATATGAAGCTGGTGTTATGCCTTTTTGAACAATTGACCGGGTTAAAGATTAACTTTCATAAGAGCGAGTTGTTCTGCTTTGGTAGAGCCAAAGACGAACAGGAGTCTTATAGGCAATTGTTTGGGTGCGAGTTGGGGAGTTTACCTTTCTCATACCTTGGTATTCCGATACACCATCGTAGGCTGACAAACAGAGAATGGAAGTGCATCGAGGATCGATTTGAGAAGAAACTGAGTTGCTGGAAGGGTAAGCTCATGTCTTACGGAGGCCGTTTGATCTTGATTAATTCGGTGCTCACGAGTATGCCTATGTTCCTCTTATCGTTCTTTGAGGTCCCAGTTGGTATTAAGAAAAGACTGGACTTCTATCGGTCGCGTTTCTTTTGGCAGGGTGATGAACTTAAAAGAAAATACCGGCTTGCTAAATGGGACATCATTTGTCGACCGAAAGACCAAGGGGGTCTTGGTATTGAAAATCTTGAAGTTAAGAATAGATGCCTTCTTAGTAAGTGGTTGTGGAAGCTTTCCTCCGGGACTAAGGTCATGTGGGCGCAGATCCTCCGCAGCAAGTACCTCCAGACTAAAACATTGTCCCAGGCCATAGTCAGGCCGACTGATTCGCCTTTCTGGAAAGGACTAATGAAAGTCAAACAATCAATGTTCAATAGGACGAGGTTTGTTAATGGAAACGGTGCAAGTACACGTTTCTGGGTGGATACTTGGCTTGGCGACTCACCTTTAGCCATTCAATATCCATCTTTATATCGGATTGCTCAACGACGTGAGATTTTTGTGGCAACGGTATTTCAATCTATCCCCCTTAATATTCAGTTTAGACGGTCCTTAGCAGGCAATCGTTGGGAAGAATGGCTCCATCTAGTTAGGAGACTAATGGAGGTTCAACTTTCTCACCAACCCGATGGATTACGCTGGAAGTTGACTAGATCTGGAGTATTTACAGTTAAATCAATGTACATTGATATTATTAATTCGAACTCCATTCCAACTTCCAAGTTTGTCTGGGCTGTCAAAGTTCCTTTAAAAATTAAAGTGTTTATGTGGTTTATCCATAAACAAGTTATTTTAACAAAGGACAACTTGATAAAGCATAATTGGACAGAACCTACTAGGTGTAGTTTCTGTGATCGGGATGAGATGATCAAGCATCTATTCTTTGATTGCCCGTTGGCCAAAGTTATTTGGCGGACGGTCCATATTGCTTTTAATATTACTCCACCGAATTCTGTCAACGCATTATTTGGGACATGGCTTAATGGGGTTGAGCCTGACTTAGCAAGACATATTCGGGTTGGAGTTTGCGCTTTGTTGTGGACTATTTGGAATTGCAGAAATGATTTGATTTTTAACAGAACATCACGAATTCATTTTTTACAGGTTATTTTCCGAGCTATAGCATTGATCCGTTCGTGGTCGCTACTCACTCCGATGGAGGCCAGGAAGCATTTGGTTACTGGATCTATCCGTTGGGAGACGGTAGCTCGGGATATTTTCAACCGGTTTGGATGGCGGTCATGTAATAGGATAGACAATTAGTTTACCTATCTATTTTTAGCCAACCGGTTGTGGCGTCTTTTCCTGGCTAGCTTGTGTATCTAGCCTTTTAGGCTCTGTGTGAGCTGTCTTTTTCCTTTTTTCAGTTGAAGACTTTGAAATCTTGTTGGCCCTTTTGTTTATTTGGTTAATAAGATGGCCGTATGCATCACTCTGATGCAAAGGCCGGGGAGCTCCCCTTTTCGAAAAAAAACGATATATGAAAGAAATTGACATCTTCTGTCCCATGCGGAGAACCGCGGCCATGTATATATGCCTTCTCCCCTTTTCAGCGCTTCTCTTAGATTTTGATAGGAATCATCAACTTGCTTGTTAGTACTACTTTTCAACGAGAAGACCAAAATTGCATTGCCACAGGTCCACCTCGCGCAAGAAAAATGGGAGAAAAGACAGCTCCATTGCATCTATCTGCCAATCTATCTACTACGGATAGACGAGAGGGGGGACACTGTGCGGAGGAGCAACAAACAACGCGCCGGCGCCTTGGCGCCGTACGATGCAAGTGCAACGGCTTGGATCGTGGTCATGGATGGGAGTGGAAGGAACCTGCTCTGTCGGCAGAGAGCATAGGAGGCACGCATAGCATGGTGAGGGTTGCCAAACTTGGTCAAGCGATAGACTTCAGCCATACGCACAAGGTTACCTTTTTCAGACATCAACGAGGGATCTAATATCCAAAGGTCCCACCTAATCAAGCGACCTTAACCAAAAAGAGAGAAAAACATTCGAGTTAACTAAACATCTTGATGGGCACAGGATTAATTCTCGTTAGCTTCAGTTCAACGGCTAAGATAATTTTCTCGGGTGAAGCTCACCTTTTTTTTGTACATAATGTTGCCGAAGCATGACGCCACCATGTACTCCAAGGCCTAGATTCTAGATCACCTTATGTATAGAGCTTTGATCCACTCTGGCGTATCAGTTGATAATAATAAGATTTGGAAGATGAAGATACTTCTTAAGAATAAAATCTTTGTATGTTATCTTCGTCGCGGAGTCATTTTTACTAAAGGCAACCTTTTCAAGAGGAATTGGCATGAAAGTATGCAATGTATTTTGTCCGCATGATGAGACAACAAAATATTTGTTCTTACAGTGTAAATTGACTCGTTCTTATGGTCAGCTATTCAAATAGCTTCTGACTTGTATCCCCCTTTGTAGTGTTGATAACATATTTGGCAACTGGTTACATGGGATTGATCTCAGGTTTAGAATTCTTCTCAAGGTGGAAGCGTTTGTCATGAATTGGTCGCTTTGGCTATGTAGAAATGATAAGGTTTTTTATGATAAAAGTATTTCTCTTATGCAGGTTATCTACAGATGTACCGGGACGCTTCGTTTATGGTCCTCTCTACAACGAGTGAAGAATTGAAACCTATTTACAAAGATGTGTACCCGATTGGAGATTATGACAAAGGATACTTTTATCCAACATGAGTGGCAGTATGATTTTAGAATTGTGCCACTGACGATTTAGGCGTTATACATATATACAATTTTCTTTGGATTTCATCTTCTTCTTTTATTTTGGCTTGTTAGGGGACTTTGTTGGCTGTGTGCATCCTTGTTTTTTTAAGACAGTACAGACGCAAGCGATCATATACACGCGCATACAATCGTCCATATAAACGCACACACTATTTCTATGAGCACATCCGAAAGATTGAGTCGGCATATCATTTTGAAATTTACGAAGTCACCGTAGACATCTCGTCATCGACGGGAATGCCTACTTTTACTCAACATGGATGGCAGCATGATTTTAGGATTGTGCCACCGACGATTTAGGCGTTATACATATATACAATTTTCTTTGTATTTCGTCTTCTTCTCTTATTTTGGCTTTTTATGAAGACTTTATTAGCTGTGTGCATCTTAATTATATAGAGACCGGATGTAATACTTAAACTTTTTAAATAATAAAGCGCTCTTTTTTGAAAAAAGACCACCTTTGACGGGAAGCGTCAAGTGCCGAGTTTGAGGTTAACTACCGATAGCCCCCTGCTCCCCCG